TTAATACTATGCATACACACTAGTCTGTAGGCTATAGCTATGAACTGCTGGGCGAAGGTAATGAAACACTGAATATCATTTCACTGTCAAAGAGCAAAGGGCATAACCTTGCAATTAAGAAGTATCTCCTTTTTTTATTAAGTTGTGATAACAAAAAAACCCAAATCCCTAAAATTAATCTGAGTTTAAACTGCCTTTTTGACTCACAACCAAAGCTGTTTATATCCAGCTTGTCTGTTACAAAAAAAATTAAAATTTCTCACCCCTCCACATTCTATCCCAATAACTTTAAGAAAATACAATTCTTTCTTGTGGGGGGTGGTTAACAGACATACTGATATATTACAGGTTGTTGGCACATTACCCACCTACTCAAGAGATCTGTTATTTTACATTTTCTTAGAAAACATGATTATATATATGTCTGTGTGTATAGTTACATCTTTCACCACCAGTCTTCTCATACAACATACAGAGATGGTAAAAATAGCGGAGCTCGTATTGAAATGCCAGGTCGTGCTTGTTTGGTATGCACTGTTCCAATTCAGTTTAAGATGAAGTGATTAAAAAGTACCCTAGTTTCCAGTGTAAAGGAAACCTAACCTGTAGAACTGTTAATCAAATCCTCATCATGAATAAGCAACTGGGAAAAGAGGGAGGGGGGCATTCTTTTGTTTGTAAATAAGCTACAGCTTCATGGTCGAAAGCATGCTGTTGCTCTTCCAGCGTTGATGTTCTAGTGCAGAAAGCAAGGATGAACTTTTATTACAATTGGACCCTTTATTTTAGCGCAGAGTAGATAACACACTGTACATTCCCCAGAAGCTAAATGGTGAATATCCCATTACATGGTGCTAAATATTGGTATGAAGGTGGTACAGACTTACTTAAGAGAATTTAAAAAAAAAAAAAGCGTATTTGTGGAACAAAGATGTACTATCCCACTTTTCTCTATTGCTTAAAATTCAACTATGAATTGAGTTGGTTTGTTCAGATTAACATGAAACTGCTTATAGAAGGTTTCTTGTCCTTACATAATCTTGGCAGACCCCAGTTTATAGTAAAATATGTACTCTCCCACTGTCCAAAGTTTCTACGGTTCTATCTGCTATTTCTATTCTCGTTAGCTATGAGACAACTTACTGTTGTAAAACTTAATT